AAATTCCCTGACCATCTAGTTTGGAGCTTCTTCGATTTTTCAGACCAATCGGAATTTCGCGTCGCTCAGGTTTGTCTCAATCTGTCAAAGTAGATCGTGTTACGATGAATCAAATCAAGAGATTGATAAACCTACTTGTTTCCCATTCTATTATAGACACACACACTATACCTAAATTAGCCGGATCGAAATTGTCTTGTGAGATTGTTTAGGCTTGTGATAGATGGGAGTAATATATTGTTTTGAAATTCCAATCAAACTCTGTATATGCTTATTAGCTGCATCGCTATGTGGTGAGTTTTGAAGTTTGGAGAATTACACATAGAATTGAACTCAGTTGCCGAAATTAAGAGAGAAACAAGTCTTAAAGATGACCTTTTTGATTGAACTAATTTACTTATCACACTTATGAAATCATGAGCCTTGTTTTAGCTTTCACGTATCCTAAATCTAAGTATTTGATTCGAGATACGATGGATATAATGTTGGATTAGCTTTCACATTTCTTGACTCCTGAAGATGATTTTGCAGGCGGAGTTTAGTGGATATATGGCTACATCAAGGTTCCAAGCATTCTTGAACAGTCCGGTTGGACCTAAAACAACCCATTTCTGGGGTCCGATCGCCAATTGGGGCTTTGTTGCCGCTGTATGTTTTGTGTGTTTCCATATCTTTTATTTAATCCATCGTTTTGGTGAGTCCTTATAGTTTTGGATTGATTTTACAATAGGGTTTGGTGGATATGCAAAAGCCTCCGGAAATGATCTCTGGAAACATGTCGTCAGGTGAGAAACAATTTGACCGTGTTGTCTTATTACGAACCCCTTGTATGGAACATTATTAGCTAAGCCTGTCATTGCATCTTTTTGATTTTGTACAGCGATGTGCATTTACTCTGCGTTGTTCATGAGATTTGCCTGGATGGTGCAACCGCGTAACTATTTACTACTTGCGTGCCATGCTTCGAATGAGACTGTACAGCTCTATCAGCTCTCACGTTGGGCTAGAGCCCAGGGGTAAGTTCTATATCAGAGAACCATATGTTTTCGGATGTACATTAGAAATTGCACTCGAAACGTGAAACAAGTTTGCTTTTAGGATTAACAATACTACTACTACTTTTACAAGCCAGTGGGTTTCTAAATCCTACGTACAATTTATGCAATTGGTTCTACAGTTCAACTTTACTTTGTTTTTAGCTCACTCGGAAATCCTCTAAATGTGCTTAATGACAGGTATTTATCCTCCACGAAGGAAGAGGAGAAACAGCCTCAGTAAACCAAAACGAGGAAAGGTTTCTTCGACGCTGTTTCTGATGAACCACGGATCAGCATTTGTTCTCGGGAATTACTGAATCCATCCATTTTATGTTCCTTTGAAACGTGTTTGTGTTGTGTCCCCAAGCTATGGTTGCTTTACTTGTTGGATCGTTAATGACCGTGATCGTTGACATTATCTCTCTTTTTTCATAAGTAACCCTTTGGTAATAAAATTTGAGACAGATTGGTCAGATTTCTTCCACCGCATTTCGTGCTACAGTTCATGGAAATTACGGTTGAAACATCATCCTTTACCAAAAATTGAAAAACATGTCCCAACTCTCTGCAATCCAAAATCAAATTGCGTGGACGTCCATTGTTTGAGTCTTTGAAACATTTATTTCGTTAAAGAACACAAAAATAAATTTTATGAAAAGCACTTTGATTTGCAATGAGAAATTCTGCTGCTTGAGTTTGGATATTTCTCCAAGCACAAGAAGAGGAGTTGCAACACAGACATGAATGAATTCTCAAATGCACAACTTCCATCTTTTGAACCATATTCGATATCTTGCAGTCTCTCATCACAGAGAAATTTATCATCAAAATCAAGCATAGGAAAGTTCCCGCTATTACCTTCGGAGACAATGACTAACTGATCTGTGTTTGCTTTGTTTATTTTCAAAGCTTGGTAGGTCAAGTGTCAAAGCTCATTCTGCATCGATTAATGTTTTGCTTGTGGTCACTTTATTACATGAAATGAAACCTCATTGAGAGTAAAAGGTACGGGATTCTGATTCCCAATTTCTCTAGAATTTGAAAACCATCTGCTCTGTGTATCCGAGTTCCTTTAGTACCCCCTTGACCTGCAGTGAAACAAACCAACGAGACATTAGTCATGAACTGTTCTGCTGCAACTACTTACATAGACTCTAAACCTACAGATTCCATGACTTGTTTCAACTTTTATGTCATCATATATCAACACTGTCCAAATAACAACGATCTATGCTAATATGGGCCATCTCATAGCCTTCCCTTGAACAGATTCCCTAAAGGTCCACAAGCTTGTGTGTTACTAATTGCATTTTAACTGATAGCCGTCAGAGATATCCAGATTGCCAAGAAAAGAAGATTCTGATGAATTTGTACAAACCTCTCCTTGTGACCAGTCTGGAGCTTTGCCTCCGGATATATGTTCCATCATCCCAGGAGGACCACATACCTGAATTAACGATAATGAAACCCACATATTAATAAATAATGAAATGCGTTGATTCTATTCATAACTTAATTCGTCAGTGGATCAAATCTGTATTGCTAAACGCTCTGACATCCTTGATTGTCACTCATGTCTTATACTTTTTTGTTCATGTGCCATTAAGAAGAAGAATATTAAATAGCATATGAGGGAAGAAGTGATGGAAAGAGATTGTAGAAACACTTTCTTTCAAAGCCAAGCTATGGTTCTGAAGATTGTAAAGTAACTTACAAGGATAAGAGTATCGTCCGCAGGAAGAGGTAAGCCTTTCAGCGCCATATCCTTTGAAATGTAACCTACTCCTCCTTTCCAGTTTTTACCAGGATTGTCAACAGTATAGAATACCTGTCGATTTTTAACATCACAAACATTAAAAAAAATGTGTATGCTAATAGTCAATGGCTAGTAAAATACTTTTAAAGATTCAAGCGGATTCTACCTTCAAATTTGGGTGACTAGCCTGAAGTACATCGAGCTTTTGCTTGAGAAGTATATCATCTGGAGAAACATTGGCATAAAGCAATGATATCTGTGCACACAAAGAAATTGTAAATTTTCATGTTAGGATATCTTTTTCTGAAAAAAATCTCGGCTGATTCTCAAATGAGTAGCAAGATATTGATAAATAAATCAGCAACTATAATATGTAGCAGTTCGACACTAGTTATGCAAAGGTTACATACTTCAATATTCGGTACAAGTGGTCATTTCTAAGGATAATAAGAATAAATTGGTCACCTGCGTGTTGTCCTCGGGATTCTTCAAAATGGCATCGATCACCTGAAGCATTGGAGTAATCCCACTCCCACCAGCAATCTTCAAGATTTTTTTTTAATAAATAAAAAGGATACCCAACACAAATCAAAGGTCAGAATGTAAGATAATACACAAAATAACTTAGACAAGAAAAAAACTACTAATGCAGTTTATATCTTCAAAGTTCAATTCCATATAAACAAAACAGATTGTATGTAAGAAACTTTAAACTTGGTTGTAACAAGGAAACAAGGGTTTACCATGCCAATATGCTTCTTCATATTAGGCGAATATTTGAACTTTTCAACTGGTCTACAAGAAACAAACGGTAGAAATAGTTAAACAGCATATACAATAAAGAACTATCACCAACCGTAGTTAAAGAAATCTAAAAGTCAAGAAACTATACCCTTTTACTTCCAACACATCCCCCGGTTTTAAGCTGGCAAAATGCTGACTCATTTTTCCGTCTGGATATACCTGCGAAGAGCAGTGAACTACATTACATCACAACAAATGTAAAATAAACCAAGGAAAGAAGTGANACCAGAACACATTTAGTTCTTTGCCAGAAAATAGAAGCAAAATCAGAGAGATGCACATTGATATTAACAGTACACTCATACCTTAATCAGTAAATCAAAATAGCCTTTAGCCTCTGGGTCCGATATAGGAGTGTAGCTGAGATTAATTCACAAATATACAATAAATAAGATCAATAGAAGCCTCACATACATCAGTAAAAGTTTTGGAGAGCTTTACAGTAGAAAGCAAGAAAATTCATGATCTAGAAGATGTATTTTGCAAGATAAGTTTGTATGTTGAGCATTCGAAAAAGTGGAAATTTAGAAGGCAGATACCACAAAAGTGGTAACTTCAACAGCTTAAATTTAACATCAAGAAACCTTTTCTCAAAGATAATGCTACATACAATCTGCATCATTTCCAACCTTTTTTTGTTCTTTAAGGCAGCTATCAACCTTCACCTTTAAGTTGCAGACAATTCATAAACTAAAAACGAACGAATATCATCAAAACAGAAGGTAAAACAGCTACTAGATGATAAATTGAAGTGATAACAATGGCTCCATCCAAGTCATTCAACAAAAGTGAAAATGCAACAGATAACAGGTTCTCTGACATGAAATACAAAGCAAAACTAGTGAGAAGTTTTTAGCTGAACTTACGGTCTAATGACATATTTCGTTTTTCCTTCAGCATTGTAGCCTAAAGGAGCCCTGTACAAAGAAAAAGAAAACATGTAAGGTTTACCAACTCTAGTTGAGTATTTATGTGAAGTTGTCCAAGATAAATTCATTTTACTGTAAAGAGGAACAAGTAAGACCACAACATACCTTGTCAGGAGACAAGAAGCAACATGTAGACCCAAATTGGCTGAAGGGTCAAATGAGAACCTATATATCAAGGCAAAGCCAAAACAAGGGAAACAAATTTAGTTCCATTGTATATATAAAAAATATCTATGAGCTTGAAGAAGCTCTCAGAGAATGTAAGAAATGACTGTTGACATCTCAACTGCAGAATCCAACCATGTTAATAGCGCAATGCCCATTACTGAGATATGGATATAAGCTTAAAGGGTAAAACAAACTAAATGACTCAGAGTCTCTTATCAATAATAACACTCAATTATACAGATGTTTCATAATGCATACCCCCAAATGTATTGAAGATAGACAAGAGAGGATGAGAAACAAACAAGCATTCAGCAGACATTTATCCATACCATACCATCCCACAATCATACAAGTTGACTTGTTCAATAAATATTTGCTATTATGACAGTATGTATTTTCCTTATATACTATTCATTATGTACATAAAAGGCGTCTAACTAACAAGACACTTCTGTCGCCCCACTTTCACTATTCAAATAAAAGTCACAAAGTTATACCTATTGATCACCACATTAGCGGAATATGAAAAAACTCAAAAAAAAAAAGTGTCACAAGTCCAAAGCCAATGTAAAATGTTTATAAAGAAAAGTATTAGTTAGTCAAGCAAATACCTGAACAAATGGGTGTTGTGGCTAACTCTAGCAGTGTCTTGGAGCTTGAACTCGAGCCATTTATCAGGGTTTAGAGCTGAAATCACACAGCACAATACAAGCATTAAGTATATATCCAAAACCATCCTCTCTCCTCCAACAGATACCAACAAAGGGAATAATATGATCATAGTAGTAGCATAAACACTCCCGGACTTTCAAAGCAAGATATTAAGGGGAAAAGGCAGTTAAGAGCGAACCTGTTTTTGGTCCTGTCTCTTCCTTAGCTTGATCCAGATAAACCTAAGATCATAAAGCACAACGACAGTCAAACATCTAAAGTAAATACAAGCCATATTAGCTGAGACGAAAGGCTAAATACGCTATTGTAAAGATCTATGTCTCGTATATGCGTCTATCTGTTCGTCTAAACTCGTCTAATTGATTGCGATATACAAGAAAACATACATTTGACAAAATGCAAGAGAAAGGAATCAAACCAGCTTAAGTAAATGGAATCTGAAATGATCAAAGACAATAGTAAGACATCTGAAGCAAGTAAAGAAAAGTATACCAGATTGTTGCCGGAAGCGAGGTAATAGTAGGAGAATCCGCCGGAAAGTGCCGCGATTGCACCGGCAGAGAATCGGTAAGTGCCAAAACCAGATTTAGTTTGGGATCCGAAAGCGGTGGGGAATGTAATCGGAGCTGACTTAGCGAGTCGCCGGAAGAAGGAGGCCATGATGGTTTAGATCTCGGAGAAAGAACAAAGCGAGCGAAATGGTGTGTGCTTCCAAGATGAGAGGGTTTTAGAAGGATCGGACTGAAACTACAGACCTGTGTTGGGGGGGTGGGGGGGAAGAGAGCGAGAGAGAGTCAATTCTACCCTACGGAAATGTCTACCGTAACAACGGTGAAATTCTCGAAACAATTTATAAAATTTCACAAAAATCTCATGTCTTTGACCACAAACTGTTGTTGCAAGAAATAACTTCGAGTACATACAATTACACTGCGAAAAAAAATACTAAATACGAAATCTCTCCTCTCTTTATTTCAAACAGTAAGTACTCTTTGCAATTCAAAATAAGTACCAAAGCCATAACAAATGTTTGGTGTTTTCTAAGCCATCAAAGTCATATTTCTAGCTACAAACTTGAGAGAGAGACACTGGCTTGTTGTTTCGAGTGAACATCGCCAGAGCCCTGATCTACCCATGTCGAGATCAGGTGGTGAGCGATGGCGAATGGTCCCGGTATGAACATAGGAGCCAGCTCACCGCTTTCAACATTGAAATCGGTTGACAGACTCTGGCTTCTCTCCACACCTTTACACATCTGCTCTATCTTTGAAGCCGCTGTTGTTTGCGCCTTCCTGTATTCTGCAAAAGCCAGTGCTTTCTTCACGTCTTCTCTACTGTGCCATTGAGCATCTGCGCAACAAAACATGTTGCTAGTTGTTAATATAAGCTCAATGTGACGAATATTCAGAAGCTCAATATAAGTTAATATACACCTTCTAACTCGTCTTTGTCTAGGTTTATGTCAAGCGTCTTGGCAAACGCAAAGAAACCGAGCATCAATTGGCACGGCATGCTACTTGGTCCCACTGCAATTTAAGACAACCATATCTTCGCTTCTGTTAACTTTGCAGTTCAGAAAAATTCCATAGCTCTCTTGGCAGTAGAATCAAAGTTCCTAACTACCTAAAGTTAAAGCAGTTTTGTTTCTTAGCTATTCAATTACCAGGCCAAGGCTGAGAGCTATGATAGACAACTTCTCCTACTTCGATCCCCGTCTCTTCCCATGTTTCTCGTCTCACAGCCTCTTCTAAGCTTTCCCCTGGCTAGCAGAAGCAACATACATAATACATACAAATTATGTGGAAATTGCATTGAAAAGATGATCACAAGGAAATTGAGATGGCTTAGCAGTGAGGTCAGGTCTTCATACCTCAATAAATCCAGCTAAACAACTCCACAGTCTCGGTACATATCTAGACTGTCTGCTTAAAAGTGCGCGGTCATTTTCTTGATCAATAACTAACATTATAACCACCTGTAATGCACAGGGGAACAATCAGCCATAAGTTCAACAGTATCATGCTCTTGGGGAAATCTAGTGCAAAAGAAAATGAAGGAAAGCACCAATATACCGGGTCAACACGGGGGTAAACCCGCTTTTTGCAAGTCTCGTTTGAGCATTGTTTTCTCCTTCCAGCTTCCCTTGGAACAGTTCCACTTCCACAAGATCCACAAAATCGTGATACGTTGTGCCACTCAAGCAATGCCCTGGCCTGTCATAATATAGTTACGTATCAGCACCAACATGAAACGAGATCAATCTTGCAGGCGAAAAGTAAGAAACTACCCCTAAGTTCTAAAATGCAGCAGTTTCAGCAATTACGATACTTCTTAAATCAACATTTTTTTCATGACCACTGAGCCGATAGCTTTACCAGTAACAACATTCAGCCATGGATACAACTCCATTACCATAAATGAGTTCGTTTAGCTCAAATTTCCGTAAACCATATCATCATTTGATTGTCTTACTACACCAACTGATTCCATCAAACCAAAACCAAAACAACTTAAGCATGACTATAATGATTCCATCACTTAAAGCATGACTATAATGAGATCAACTTAAAGGAGCTCACATACATGTCCTGCAATAGCCAATTCATCCATAGCGCGTTGATCCGCCCAATCAGCAGCCACCATTAACGTTCGAAGCTCAACGAAACATAGCTTCCTACCTCCGAATTCAGAAGCCACACCGTTTTCTTCCGACACATCAATCGCCCAAAACACCAAATCTTCCTCCGTCTTGGGACCTAAATACACAAGCGAGTCCTCGCTCAGATCAACCCCACAACTCCCCAAAAAACCCTTACAATCAGCCAAACTGATCCAGCCCAGATGCCAAATAGGCGTCGTCGAAGCGTCTCCACCGCTCGAGAACACCAGTGGACGTCCCTTGCTAAAAGGAAGGACCTTAAAATCGGGAGAAGGTGTGGGGTGATTAGGGATTAGTGGGATTAGGTTTTTGAGGGATTCGAAAGCGGAGGAATGTGAGAAGAGATCGGTGGATTTTGGTGTTTTTGACCTCAAGGGATTGCCTGCGAACGCGTGTGTCCTTAGGTTCATCGACATTGTGAGAGCTGAGAGTGTTGTTCTTCGTGTTAAGTCTAGAGTTATGGATCTGGAGAGGGAAGAGAGAGTTGAATACGTAGAAGAAGAGAGGAAGAGAGCAAGCATCTCTGGTTTCTTCTTCTCTCCATTTCTTTCGCGCTTGATGATGATGTTAGGTCCGATCGGAGTGAGAACGGAGAAACGATGATTCAGACGAGTCTGATCCTCACACGTGTCAAGCTATGTCGTGCACCACGTGTAAATATCGCAATCAGTCACTTAATCTGGTCACGTGAGAGTTATGCGCAATTGTCGGTCTAGCTACTTTTATTAATTGGTAATCTGGTTTGAAATTATATTTTCAAATTTGTTACAACTAAACCAAGTGGCTGACATATTTTTTGGTTTTGAATGTACAAACCTAAAGAAATCACTTAAATGCAAGTCTTTTATACAATCTTTTTGGAATGAATATTTAGGATTTGAGTTGAAAGAGTGTTAGAGAACTAAGATTTTTACTAGATATCATATCACAGTGAACCTGTGGATGAGTGGTTCGACTACTAGATTAATTTGTCTTACATAGATATTCCAAATTTCCAATGTAACATCTTAACTGAAAATCCGAAAGATCCAATCCAAATCAATGACGCACTCAAATAGTTTGGGGTTTTTCCATCACAAAGCAACATCATTCAAAAGGCTCAACCTTCGAGCGCGAGGGTCGATGTCAACCACGCGGACAACTCATCCATTTCTTGTGGGATTGTGTAGTGACCAAGTCCACCGTAAGGTTTAAAGGTCACCTTCTTAAAACCGTGTGAGATCAAGGCCTGTGAAGATTTCTCCCCAAACTTGAACGGTACCACATCATCACCTGTAAACCAAAGTTACATGAACCAACATGAGAACAAGAAGACAAGAAAATCTTTAACAATGTAAACAACTTGGTTAACCAGAAGTAGTAACTGGTCGCTCATAAGAATTTTTTTCCTTAGAGACTATGAATTGCATTTACAACAAGATTCAAACCTTATAAGCATGACCAATTGGTTTGGCATATTATACATGCTGACAAGTGAAACATTTCAAAAGTTTAGTAGTAGTATAATTTGTTTCATTACCTTTTCCGTGACAAACTAAAATGGGCAACGATGCAGCTCGGTTTTTGATCTGTTCCTCTTCAAGTTTGCCAACCAATGTCCTGTGAGGATAATAAACGTACCAAATTGACTCAAATATTCCAATTGGACTAGGCGAAAGTAAGGCGACGAGGAAAACATACTTTGCACAAGGAAGCCAGCCACTTAAGCCTATGACGGTGCTTAAATTGATAGGGTAAGGGTTGCCATTTCCATATTTACCGAGAGCAAAACAAGTTGCAGAATATAGAGATGTCCCCGCACCCATGCTGAATCCTCCAACACCTAATTTTACTTTGAGCAATGGAAGATAACACAGTTTTAGAAATGGGATCTCGAAATCTTGTGTTTCAGCTACAAAAGAGTTTCATTGTTCCCAGATGACAATTAGATTATCAGTGGAAAGAGTTCCTCTCCTTTCCCTTGATTATTTTATTCACTCTCGTCCTCAAACAATTACTATACAACATACTGTTATAGTAATTTTGTTGTTGTTCCATTTTTATCAGATAAAGTACAGGAACCATTAAGTCAATTGGTAACTAACTAGAATAGAGTCAGCTTTCTCTTCTTTCTAACTCTACTCCTTCAATTTCAAAAACAATGTTTCTTTCAAGAATTGAATTCCTACTCTTAAGCTGCGATAGTGTACCATACATCACCATGTTGATACTATCATCATCGTTTATACTCATTCTTCTTACTAGTTCAGGGACAACATGTAGGAGAATGAATAGGCAAGTTTGGAGGGAAAACTTACTGTCAGCAGGCTCATTTGACAACAGATTTGCAACATGTGCAGCAGCCACATCCAATCCTTCTACATCATCAGGTCCATCTTCATTGATGTCCACAACATCAAACCCTACATCAATTACAATAGCAACTCATCAAATATTTTCTCACACAAAATAACTGTGCAAAGTCATTGATATTCACGCACAAGTTTGATGATAGTGTCTATAAAGAAAGGTAAGAATGCTAGCTCTGTTATACAAACTATGTATTGCCTCTCAACATAAAGAGATGCACACTTTCTTTTTTGGTTAAAGGTACGTGCACTTTCTTTTTTGGTTAAAAGGTAAGTTATATTGCTTACCAAAAGGTAAGATCCTGTAAAAAATTGTCCCATACACAGCAAACCAGTGGATTAGTTTTTCCACAGAAATTTCCAATACTAAGATAGAACAATAGAATGCTTCTTTGGTCTAGTTATGTGGAGCAAGAACCAATGATGTGTTGTCTAAAACCACAAGATGAGATAAGCTTCCTACAAAATTGCGAAATTATCCCGAACCACTTGGTTGACTAATTTGCTTAAAGCCTAATAGAGTAACTTTTTGCATATATTGCAAATTTCAAACCAAAAATGGCACATTCTTTTGCAAGAATATTAAATTTAATTGCACTCTCTTTAACCTACCTGTCTACTTCCACTAAACAGAATCAAAGAAAATTGTTATGTAGCAAATAACTTACAAGCTGTGGAGGGAAAACCACCAAACAAACTTATTGGTTGAGAAGGAGCAGTCGGGCATATCCATTTGATCTAAATCACAAATACAAAGATGGGTTAGTATTGATAAATGTAAAGTAATTGAGCATGTTTTTATTAATGAAGGTAACTGCTGGAGATCACTGAAAAGCTTATAACTCACATTTGGAAGGGGAAGGGTCTCCAAAAGCTGGGACCAGCTGCAGGCAGGACAAACAAAACACTTAAGATCATTACCGCCAACTTTTCGCTGTGTCTTGAGTTAGGTTTGTATCAATCAAGTCGATGAACAATGTCATATTGCTAATTCGAAATGTTTCTTCTCTAGAAGAAAAAAACAGCTTATAAGATAAGCAAGAGTGTTCTAGGTTAGAGATCAATTATTTTTCTCCACTGGTTGTGATATGACATTGCATAAAAAGCACCAAAACTCTTGGAAGAAAATTAAAGCACAGCAACAAGGAGTAAAGTTGAACATTAACATGAATAACAGTCATTAATGAAAGTTATTAGTCTAAAGCTTATTTACAATTCCCAACATTCCACATATCGTCAATATGCTAGCTGATTTTCCAAAGTTAAAACCAACTTAAGACAGAAAAGAATTACCTCGAGCCATTGTCGCCAAGCCCATGTAGCCAGACAATAGTTGCTTGGTGTTTCCCTTTTGGCCTAACAACATGAGTTTTCCCAAACTCCACCGCTCTTCTTAAATTTCTGCCTGAAACGATGTTGCAATTGAGAGCTTTATTTCGATACGAACTCGCTCAAAAACCGAATCAATACGCAGCACAAAAGAAGAATATACTAACTTGAACCAACTGCAGCACCGGAGAGACTCATATTGGATAACAAAAGCAATTATTGGTGAAAAAAAACAATGACCCTGCAGGAAAAACATATACATCAATCATTAACACCACATTGCACAAGAGAAGACACCTAAACGGAACACCAAGTGTCCGATCGAAAAAATTCCTAGGATTCACGAAAACCCAGATACCAAAATCGCGTCGCAGACTCGCAATTGCAAATTGAAAGCAGAATTTACCATAGAAATTGGTGAAGCGCATAGGATAAACCATGAATCGATCTTACCTGGCTGATATAGTAGCTTGGAAAAGGTTAATCGACGGAGAAGCCTAAGGAGGAGACAAAAGAAAGAGAGAGCTCAGCAAATCCGTAAACTCTGGTGTGGTGTGGATTGGCACGTTTTATCTTTTTAATCAGCGTCCCACTATTATTGATTTTTTTCACTTTTCTCCCCAAACCTTTTTGTTTTGATCAATCTTTGCCTTAATAGTGGGAGATTCGGTTTACTTTTGACAATACAAATTCGGTTAAGGGTCCCAATCCCGAGGCTTTACAATTCCACTAGCCACAATGTATACATTGTGTTATGTCCGTGTCTAATGTGTTGTCTATTCAATCAAAACAAAACGAAATCCTCAAACTTGAAGTTGGAGGGAGAGGTAACGCTCCGATCGTCATTGTCCATAGGGCTCCCGGGGGTCGGTGCACTGTTTTTTTTTTTGTCTTCACTTACACGATACTTAACTTTCTTAAAAATGATGTTCTCTTATGAATTATAGAAAAAAAATAAGTACACTTTTGTACAAAGATCGAAAACCGAAGTTAAGAAGAATGTTGAAACCATATGCTTTGTTCAATCCTTGGTTATAAATTGTGCTTGTTACTATCATGATGTATGTAACACACCAAGAAATCTCAGGCTTTAAAGTTGAAACAAGTTCTACCGCGGAGAGATGGGAGATATGATACTAGAACATATCGAAGGTAAGCGGAAATTCCTCTCCCTTTGAATTTGCAATCTCGGAATGTCTATTACTCGGCGAACACCCGTGGCTGAATCATCATCAGCCGCCAAAAGATCGACCACGACAACTTCGGAATCCGGCGGTTCATTAACCGGAACTCTCCCTTCAAGCATATCAATCACCATACTCATATCAGGCCTACTCTTAGCCTTCTCTTGTATACACCACAAAGCCACACACACCAATTTCATCACTTGCTCTTCATCATCTACCTCCTTGGAGTCTACCAACCGTTGATCTACAATCTCCATTATTTTCCTTTCTCTCATCTTCTGATTCACAATCCTTGGGAAATACTCAAA